AACTTACTAAATAACAGAGCATTAATTGCTAAACGTAAATCTTAAGTAATTAAAGTTAAGTCTAATCCTAAGAAAACTCCTTACTACTTCCAAAAAGAAATTAATAATTCTTAATAATGGAGATAACTCCCTTATGACTTTGAAAATACAAATTCTTACAAATGAAGATATAACTTGACAATTCTTACTAATAAAGGTAACTCCCTTATGACTTTGAAAATACAAATTGATATTAGCAATTCAGATTTTTTTTGTAACACTTGAAGCAATATATTTCTTGAACTACGAAACATGAATAACGTTTTTCTACTTAGCTCTGGTCTTCAATTGACTCCAAACTTTATTTCTGTCGGTCGCGTGATCCAATATAAGTGCTTTTAAGTTCCAATATCCGTTAACCACGCGAAACACCAAACGAAATCCAAAATCAGTTGAGTTCAGCGAGACAATCTTTAAACCTTGAATTTTTCCAACAAAAACTCGACAATCTAGGTGTCCAAGCGCTCTTCTCAGCAATATAATCCAACACAAGTCCAAAAATGAATTCTTGCAAGAAGCAATCACTTTACAGATAAAGGACGATTTGTTTCCAGAATAGTTCCAGTATCCARTTGTGTCCAAATATGATTCAGGACAAAACAATCTGTAGGTATTCCAGATAGCAATACTCGTAGTAGAACTCTTGCGAGCTCTCAAATGTTCCACTTCAAAATCAAATTTGAAGAAAATACACGGCAAGCCTTACCAGATGAAAGCAAGACTTTGAACTTTGGGCCTTTTCACGATGAAACCATAAYAGCCCCACGTTGGGCGCCAAATGTAAACTTCTTTTCCTTTAAGTCTACTTTATTCAGACAGCTTCCTACGATTATGTCGGCGTAGGCTATGTTTRAATTTTTGCGARGTCCTCTGGCCTATCGTTACTCAGTTTACCTCAAACGCTCCAGAAAACTACTGCCCCTCACTGAGCCCGCGCATCGCCCTAAATACTGGGGAACCCCGCCCACAATTCCCGGGAGACGGGAACACAGGGAACCCACGCACTCTACATAAGTACAATCTCGAAGAACTATCGGCCGGAACGTGAGCAAGTAGTTTCCTTACTGTTTATATAAAAATTTGCACTTCTTTTACGATCTAGAAATCGATCTTTTCCTCCTAAATATGTATTTTTTCAGCATATTAAATCTTAAATGTTCGATTTTGGTGTTTTACCTAAAGCTCAAGCTTCTTTGTAGTCATAAATCTTTGCCGATTATCGAACCGTCACTTGAGTGTAAACAACAACCACGTGCTTTGACTAACAAATGAATCTAGAATCTTATTTATACACTTATTCAATAAAGAAGAATTCTTTTGCCTTTTTCTATCATCAACCTTTCTTTCTTTTTAAATACAAGTACATGTATAATTGAGTTTTAGTATCGCAGACTTGTAAAAACGGGTATGTGAATTTTAGCGGTAGTCATTCTACTGACAGTTATGTCACTTGTATTTTCTTTCTTCAATCGAAAGAAAACCCATTTTGTGTAGAAGCTGTCTGTTTGGAGCACAATCTTCATTTAAATTCACGTCAAATAACTTATTTAAAGAGCGACGCTAGTCAGGAATATGGTAATAACGCATATCTACGCATATCGATTTTTTGTAGATCGATTGCAGATTAACCCCCCATCCCCACGGAATTTCCAAGCTACTTTAACCCCCAACCCCCTCGGAATTTCCGAAATCCTCCGTGGTGGGGGTATGGATATTTTCTGGAACTACACAATCTAACCTCTTCTTCTTCTGATAATAATGATGGATCGTCAAGGGAGGTGTTCTCATCTGAGTCACTTGAAGAGGAGTCACTTGAA